TTTGTTTGAATAACTGATACCAGAGGTTGAATCCAAGAAACTTAAAAAACTTACTCCAGACCTCCTCAGTAATAGATGAATGATGTGGTAAGAACAGATGCCACTTAAACTAGCAAGTTTGAATGAAACAGATGGAAGGGGGTGGTATTTCAAGATCTGAAGGGTACATCCAGATACCCTCAGAAATTTGGGAATTGTCAAGAGTGAAATGAGGCAACCTGGAAGTGGTTAATGATAATGAACCACATTTATGGATGTGCTCTCTCCTGCTGCAGAACACTTTCAGCCAAAGCAGATTGTCAAGTCTCTTATCCCTTCATGGAACAAACTGGTTTTCTTTGAAGTGTCTCCAGTATCCTTTCACCAGGTAAAGACTGTAAACCACAAATAGAATACTGAGGATCATGCATTTTAATCGCCCATTATCTAAACATGACAGCTTCCTATTAGACTTGTTATCTGATGCTGCTTTAACACTTGGCATGGAGGATCCTGAAATTCATGTGCATTGGCTAGAAGTCTCCCTCCTTATTCTTTGTGTTAATATGCTTCTGGACTTGTCCTTCCAGGTGTCTGAAGTCCTGTCTGAAGAAAAGTCACGTTTGTCTATAAGTGGCTGGTTTCATGGTCCTTCATTGACCAGACCTCCCAACTACTTTGAACCTCTCATACCTCGGAGTCCTCACATCCCACACAATGTAAGGAAAATTTCTGGTATCTTTATCTTAGGAGCTATAGCATATCATTTGTTCTTCTGATTTTAAAATTATCTGTTCCTAATAATGAAACTAGACTTTGAGCTTGCCCCTTTCCACTTTTCATAAACTTTTGATAGTGTCTTTCTCAGGCACAGTTTTCCAGCTCTTTATGTTTAATAGGAGAAATTTATAAAGTAAGAATTTGCTTGTATTCTATTAATACTAGCATGAAGTGATTTAAGAACAAAAGCTATAGGAATTGTTAATTTACCTGTTGCATTTGATGCTTCTTTATAAGCATGAAATTTTGTATGATTGGATCAACCCTACTTATCTGGACATGGATTACCAAGTTCAAATTCAGGAAGAGTTTGAAGAAAGTTCTGAAATTCTCCTGAAGGAATTTCTTAAGGTAGGCTAATTGCTTCCTGAATGGGGAAATAGGCATCACTAGAGAGTTTTGGTTTTATTTCTGATTAGAATGTTTATGTCATTCCTTTCTTCAAATTAAATACAGAAATGATGATAACAGCTAACATTGATATCAGTTATGTGCTTACTGGGTTTAACAGGCCCTCAGACATTCCTTAGTTCTCCAGAGTCTTAATGGTAAACACATACACAAGCTTCTGTCCTGAGAAGGAGTTGTGTATAGTTACCTCTGTCTTCATCTGATGAATATGGTGCTTGTTATTACTTTGAATAATAGATTACTCATAGGTCAGTAATTATAATGAATTTTTGACAATGATGAAGCAGCTTGTTATAGTGGAAAGATGATCTATATTCATGTCCTGGCTCTGTGGCTTTACTAACCTGAGCAACTCACTTAATCACTCCAGGTATTTATTTCATCATCAATTAACCTGGGATAATACCTGCCTTGCCTTTCTGGCAGAGTTGTCCTGAGGGCCAAATGAGATAACTTATGCTGCTATGGTGTTTCATAGTTAACATGGGTCCCGTGGGATCAGTCTCAAGAGCTAGCCTTCCATAAAAAAAGCTTGAGCAATTCTACATACTGTCTCTCTCTTTCAGAATGTTATAGCTAACGTTAGCATATTAAGGTTTTGAGAAGTATTGTAGTAAGTCAATTTGTTTAACCCTATTTAATTATGCTTACTCAGGCCATGCTATGGGATCCTTCCCTTTTTATATCTTTACAACTGATAAGACTACTTGGGAAACTGCATTAAACAAATAAATATAAAGCCTCTTGTGAAGAATATTGTAATAGATTAACCAGTTCTTATATTGTACCTAACTTTATGAGTTTAGAGTACTTATTAAATAAGCCAGGCTCGGTGGCTCAGCCTGTAATCCCGCGCCTTAGGAGGCTGAGGTGAGTGGATTTCCTGAGCCCGCGGGTTCGAGACTCACCTGGGCAACTTGGTGAGACCTCATCTCTACAATA